GTTAGGGCCCCGAAGCCAGGTTTAAAGAAGGAAGGGGCCCCGGTGGTGATGGCCTCAGGTCATTATTTAAGAAGCTGAGAAAAGGAAAATAGAAGAAAAAGGGGGCAGGAAGAGAGGAGGCCGCTTTGAAGAGGGTGGGAGGAGAGCCGCTTCACAACCAGGAGGCAGAAGAAGGACCACCAGAGGCAAAAAGTTAACCAGGAAGAAGCTGACTCTTTCCCCGAGTCTGTAGGGCAGCCGAGCATGGAGTTGACATAATAAAGGCTATGAGGGCAACTGTTCCTTTGGAGGCTGGTTGTCTCCCCGGCTGCAGTGTTGTCTCAGGGGCAACACAGCAGCGAGGAAAGGAGCTTACTCATTGGAGTCAGACTGTCTGGTTTCAGCTGTGAGGTTATTACCTGTGGTGACCTGGGGCAAATTAGTCAGCCCTTCGGTGCCTCAGTTTCCCCATCTGGAAAATGGGGATAACCAAGGTTGCTGTGAAGATTAACTGCCACGATCCACATAAAGCCCTCAGTACCGCGTCTGGCACACAGCAAGCAAGTGTTCATGGAAGGGTAGCTATTGTTAACAGCCACTTCTCCCGGTTCTCTTGCGAACCTCCCGTGGGTCTAATGTTGGCCAGCAAACAGGAGCTCAGTGCTTGCTGCTTCACTAGGAGCTTTTCAGGAAGTGTGGTCATAAGAAATGAGAGGTGATTTAGAAGTGGCACAGCGTCTGTCGCGAGGGCTTTGCTCCACAATAAATGCTACCAGACATGTAATAAATGCTTATGAGCATGTCCTCTGTAATCAGCACCCTCTAGAAAATTCCCCTCCCCCACTGCTCTTGGCCTTGGCTCTGGCCACACCCACCGCTCCAGAGAGCACTACCAGCTGTCAGTAGGTTCCTTTACAGGGATCTTCCCATGGTTATACATTTGGAGAAGCGGAGAATGTTTTACAAACACTTCCAAACGTCTCATAGCAATGAGAGGCCAGTGAGGAGGGTGGATGGAGTTCTCCTGTGCCACAGAAATCGGAGCTGGAGCGGATCCAGCTGGCTATGTCACCCCAGGCTTGTGGGTCATTGCAGAATCGTTCGCAGAAATTCCCGTTGCATTGGATTTTGTCCAGGCCAGTGCAATGTGTTCAGGGATCACAGAGCAATCTCTCAAGGGAAAAAAGGAAGGCCTGTTGCTTGGAATGGCTTAGAGCACTTTTGGTAGCCATCCAAGGCAGCTATCACTCATTAAATCTGCCTTCCCTTCCAGCAAAAAGCCAGCTGTATAGAATACCACATATAGAGCTCTAAGAATAGTATAGCACTCCAAGAACATACTGCACTTGGCCTAAATACAATTGTGCAGGGCTTGACAAGTTTTTTTTTTACTCTCAAAGCTGGGTGAGTTGGAACAAACAAACAAAAAATATTTTCCCCGAGTAGCATGCAGAGAAGAAATGAGAAAGACAGCATAGGAGAGCACTCTAGCATGCTGTTCTCTGACCTGGGCTGCCTTTTCAGGGCATGGATTGACTCCACAACCACCAAAGGATACCCATAAACCCCAGGGCCGTGGACATAGCGAACCCTCCCCCCCAACTCACTGACTTTACACTAGCCTGAGCAAGCCCCAAAGTCCCATAACAGGTGGTAATTTGTCATTTGCTGCAACAGGAATTTGAAACCATCATTCTCCACAATAAATATTTGGTTGATTTATTGGCCTCCTTCCCATAAGTATAGAAAGTGAGGATGGGCCCCACCCAAAGTTGCAGTTCCGAGCAATAAGATCTCAGGGTGCACACGTTAAACCACACTCCGTTGTTTGTTGGAAGAAGAAATCCATGTGTGGGTCTATCCAGAAGAATCTGGGAAGATACTCTTTTTAAAAGGAGTTGGCTCTTGTAGGGATTTGAGAGAGCTTTTCTCTTCTACTTTAAAACTTTCTATACTGTCTGAGATCTTTTACTCAGTGTTACCTTTGTGGTCAGAAAAACAGCAATCTTACTTGGCAATCATTTTCCTTTTCTCAAGTGGGCAAATGTGACAGGGTTTCCAGCTTTCTGCTTTCTCCGGGGGGGCGGGGGAAAGTACAAAGAGGTGGAGGGGACAGACAGCTGAGGGCCCTCAAAAATCAAGGTGACGGGGAGACCAGACTTCGACCATTCCTGGATATTCGTCTCCTGCTCCCTGCCCGCAGAGAGCAAACGTTGCAGATCACTACACATCATCAGCCCCTTGGCTAGCTAACCGCATTTCATCCTTCAGTTCTCCTCGTAGATGTCACTTTTTCCAGGAAGCCAGCTCGGCCCCGCCAAGCTTGAGTCCCATGTCCCTCCCATGTTCTTCCAAGCCACCTGCACTGTGATGATCTGTTTACATTTTGGCCACCCCCACCAGATTTGCAGTCCCTGAAGGCAGAGGTATTTTATTCATCTGTGTAGCCCTTGTACCTTAGGAAAGTGCCCACAGACACAATAAATATTTACTGAATAATTATTTGTTTGGGGACCTTTTATAATCAGAACCATTTAAGGGATACAAAGATGAAAAACAGGGGCACCTGGGGGGCTCAGTCAGGTAAGCGTCTGACCCTTGGTTTTGGCTCAGGTCATGATCTCACTGTTTGTGCGTTTGAGCCCCACATTGGGCTCCATGATGACAGCACGGAGCCTGCTTGGGATTCTCTCCCTCCCTCTCTCTGCCTCTCCCCCACTTATGCGCTCTGTCTCTCTCTCAAAATAAATAAACTTATAAAAAAAAAAGATGAAACCATTTGTTTTCAAGGAACTTATAACTGAGTTGGGGAGACAGATATGTCCAACAATTAACTATAAAACCAACCCCTGGTTTAAGGGTTAAAAGAGTTACAAAGAGCCAAATATGAAGATAAGGAAGGTTTTGGACTCTGAACATTTCTCACTCATTGTGTTTTCTGGTTCAGAATCCCCATACTGGAATTGCTAGTATGGGGTACGTGCGTGTAGTTATAAGGATCAGGTTCTTAGGACCTTTGTTAGAATTTGACTCATGATCTTCCTTCTGTCCTTCTGCTGGCTGGCAGTTGCCCTAGGAATACCTGCCATTTAATCTTAATTGATGTTTGTGAAATGCCTTGTCTTCCTCTGCTGAAAGTCTGTTAAGTGTTGAGCATTACAGTGTTACAGTGGTTGTTTTATTACTAAAGCAGTGCCAACAAGGTTACACAACAGCTTGGATCAGGAAGCGAAACAAGGGCGGTGATCCTACTGAAGCTACAGGGGATGGGGATTTGGGATGGTAAAATGTTAATTACCCGAGACGGAATGTGGGCTGGAGTCCAGAACTGTGCTTCTGGAGATCCTTTCAGTCCCAGAGGCTGGGGCCGGCTCTTTGGCATTGGGTTCTAAGCATCCTGCCCTCCCCTGGCTGGAATGTTGGATTCACTTCGCTGAAAGCTGCCACAGAAAAAGAATCTAGTGGCCACCAGCCAGGAGCACACGTCTTGCACTGCATCCGGGGCCACTCTGGAAGCTTCCCAGGAGCCGAAGGGCTGTTCCATTTGCATGTAATAAATTATTTATTTCTAAAGCGATGTATTCTTTATTTCTCTTTCGACTCTCTTTCTTCTTGTTTCTGGTTCTTGAGGTCTCTCTCTAAAGAGTGAGCTGAAGATGGATGAGTGGGGGTTGAGGAAGGTGGCTTGGCACACAAGGATGTGGAAATGTTAATTTATAGAGCTGAGAAAATAAACATAGAGGTAGATGAGCTTCTGGTCAGGAAACACCAAGACGGTTTCCTTTAGGATAGGGAAGAATGGGTGCCAGAGGAGAATGCGGTGGTGGCAATGACAACCTCTCCATAGCTTTAGTCTCCCACAATGTCACCTCTGGAAACTGATGGGGGAACTTGCATTAGGAATGAAATATTTTTAAGATATGTTGGCTGGCAGGTAAGATTCTGGACGAAGGGAGAGGCACTACAGTAAAAAGAGGGTAGGCTCTGGAGTCAGACCTCCTACCCTCCAAATGCCGGTTCACTAATTACTCTCTATCTCGGTGACCTTGGGCAAGTGTCCTAACCTTTTTGGAGCCTTAGTTTTCTAACTGTAAAATTTAGACAATGTAAAACTCACACGTTTAACCAGATAATCCCTGCAAAGAAATCAGAACGGTAGTTGGCACAAAGTACGCACAAAATAAACGATGGTCATTATTATCGTCAATTATGGGTCAAAACGACCAGAGTCCTGCAAACTCCCAGCCAACAATTCACTGTAGCACAGGGAATCCAGAACTGACTGACGCGCCTATTTGCCCAATAAGATACCAGGAAAGAACTCTGTGGAGTCAAACCAATGGCACTAGTCCTTGTTGTTGGACGGGTTTTCTGGCTGTTCCACCAATAGCTTGAAGATTTGACTAGGGAGTGACATTCTGACAGTCCAATGACGTACAACCAGCCCACACTCAGCACTTCGAAGGGGATAAATCAAGGAGCCGGCGCGTATAGATTCCGTTATTAGGCAATACTGGATGGAGAGAGGAGCTCAGTGGAAGCAGCGCGAGAGCGAGGCACCAATGAGCTAAAAAAGGACAAAAGACGATGGTTGCGCCAAGTGAGCTCGGCCGCCATCATGCTCTAGTTTCCCCTTCGCCTCTCCGGGTCCGCGACCAAGGAAGCGGCCTCTGGGATGCTGAGGGGGTGTGTCCCCGAATGATTGGCGCAGGCAGTTCAGCCAATCGTAGCTCGTCAAACGGGAAGCACTTGACCAATGAGGGGCGACGGCAGCGGCGAGGAATTGGAGGGGCGGAACAGCAGCTTGATGGGCATAAAAGCCAGCCAGTGAGAGCCGGAAGCATCCTCCCTGTGGCCAATGGAGTGGGACTCTGGGCGGGCCCCCGAGTGTTTGTGTTGTGGTTTTGGGGGAGGGAGGCGGAGGGGAAAGTTTGTTTATTTTGTTTTTAGTTTCTGGGGTCCCCGTGTTTCTGGGAGGTGAAGCGGGAGGGAGTGACCCCCCCCCGCGCCCCTCAGTCCCCCTACTACGTCGCCTCCATAGCCTGCGGAGAAGCGGGGACCGCGCGCATCGCAGCGCATCGCCTCACAGCGGAACGCCGCGCACTCGGAGCCGGCGCGGCTCGGCGGTGAGTGAGGACCGACGGCCACTGCCGCCCTTCCCCTCCCCCCGCGCACCGCCCAGTCAGAGCTGGAGGGCCAGGTGGGCGAGGACGCCCGCGGGAGCGCGCGGCGCGGGCCGGCCTGTCAAGCTGAGTCGCAGCGTGTGCGTGTCCTCGCGAGTGAGCGCGCGCGGCGGGGACAGGGCCGGAGGGGGGGGCGG